AAAACAAAACAAAACAAAAACATATTAAATCAAAAACGAAAGAGGAAAATAAATTATTGCAACCAAGGAAAGTGCGCTGTATAAATCAGTTTATACGAATACGAATTTGTTTCTTTTTTGTTTGCGCGTTTATTCGTTTATTTGCTTTATGGAGGGAGGAGTTTTTTTTTTTTGAGGTCAGTGCCCCCCACCCCCCCCCAGCTCCTAGGTCCTCGCTACGCCCCTGAAATGCTGCAATTTCCTTACGAAGAGCAAAGAAACGCAGTTTTTTAGGTATTGTATGCAATAAAAAAGATTTTATACGTGTACTTGGTACTTTTTAGTATAATGATAATAATAATGATGGTGATGATGAAGAAGATGATGATGATAATAATAATACACTTTATTTAAGCAGGGTAACTAGAATTACAAGAGTAGTTTTCATCTACTAGGCCCTAAATATATAAAACAGAAATAAGTAAATAGACAAATATAATAAGAAGCTAAAAGAACAAAGTGGTTTTCAAAAACCCGTGAAATACACCTTAGCGTATTACACTTTAATGCACTTTATTGTCCGCATTTTCTTTTGATTTTCGTTTGTGTTTTCGGTGTATTACATTTTATTACACCTTATTCATTACACTTTGTTTCACGGGTTTTTGAAAACCACTATAGTTAAAAAAAATATATATGCACACATAGCAGTACGGTTCCTTGTTAGTGTTTTTTTCTGTGACCATTGTCCTGATGCCCCGTCAACACTTGTAGGCCCTTGGCCCCCCTGCGAAGCATGGGCCATCGATGGTCCTGCCTCCACGTAGTGCCTCTGGTTTTTGCAGAACGCGGCGGGTCTACACGAGACCACCCACAGGTAGCCCAAGCTTGGTTTCTGTGGTGTCCTGTTATAAGGAAATGTATGGAGATTCATCAAAACTTTCAATAAAATCATTGAAACGTGAAATAAAGCYTCGAAATTTTACCCGATCATTGAGAAATAGCACTTCTTTGGTCAGTGTTGCTCACAAACCCTAACTTAAACGT